AACATGTGGTCCTCAGTTCTTTGTTTCTGTGATAGATCACTGAGTATGATAGACTTTAAATCTATCCAAGTTGCTGCAAAGTCTTTCTTTGTGGCTGTATAATAGTCCATTGTGTATATGTACTACATTTTTTTTTTATCAAGTCCGGTTTCAATGGGCAGCACAGTTGGTTCCATGTTTTTGCTATAGTGAATAGTGCTGCAATAAACATGTGTGTGCAGGTATCTTTTTTGTAGAGTGATTTAAGGTTCTCTAGGTATGCTTCCAGAAGGGAAATTGCTGGGTCATATGGAAGGTCAATTTCTAATTCTTTTAGGAATCACCACACTGTTTTCCATAGAGGTTGAACTAGTTTACATTCCCACCAGTAGTGTAAAAGTGTTCCCTTTTTTCTGTATCCTTGCCAGCATCTGTTGTTTTATTATTGATGGACCCAATAATACTTTCGATCCATATTATTTTATACAATACTTTTAAAAGCAGTTAAGAGAAGATAAAATATATGCCTTTAAACTGTCTCTTCTAATTACATAATTATCTTTACCAGTGCTCTTTGTTTTTTTATGTGGATTCAGATTACTGTCTGCATTCATTTGCTTTTAGCCTGAATAGTTTTCTTTAGTAGTATGCTTAATAAACCTGAAGAGTTTTCTTTCTTGTAAGATGGATGTGCTAGCCACTAATTTTCTCAGTTTTTGTTTATGTGGGAAAGTCTTCATTTCACCTTCATTTTTGAAAGACACCTTGACTGGATATAGAATTCTTGGTGGATGGTTTTTTTCCTTTGAGCACTTTAAATATATTAACCCACTACCTTCCATTGTTTCTACTGAAGAGTGAAACAATGATGTAATGAGTGATTTTACTCTTGTTACTGTCAAGGTTTTTCTCCTTTTTGACTTTAGCAATTTTACTATGATGTAGCCTGTGTATTCACTTTTATTCTGTTTGGAGTTCATTGAGCATCCTGAAAGTGTAGGCTATTATTTTTCAACAAATTTCAAACGTTTTCAGCCGTTATTTTTCAAACAAGTTTTTCTGCTACTCTCTCTCCTTTCTTTTAGGTACATCTATTGTATGTATGTTGTTATTCTTAACAATGTCCTTCATTTCTCCAAGGCTCTGTTCAATTTTCTTTATCCTCTTTCTCTCCTTGGTTTGAATAACTCTACCAACCTATCTTAAAGTTCACCACTTCTTTCTTCTGTCCGTTCCAACCTATTGTGCCTTTCTAATGAATTTTTAAAATTTTTATTTATACTTTTCAACTCTAAAATATCCATTTAAAAAATAATTTGGGGGGGTGGGGAGGGAAAAAAGATAATTTAAATCTGTTTATTTATGTTCTCTATTTGATACAACATTGCCTTTTACTTTTAATTACCATCCTTTACTTTTCTAATCATACTTTTTTCTCCACTTCTGTGAGCATATTTATAATGGCCACTTTGAAGTCTTTTTTGGTTAAATCTGATATCTGGTTGCTGTCAGTGGCAGTTTCTGTTGTCTGCTTTTTGTCTGTAGAAAAAAGTATATATATTTTTTACCTAGCTAGTAATTTTTTTTGGAAATGGAACATTTTAAATAACATATGAGAGAGTAAGTCCATCAAAGTTAGCCTAGATACCCAGCTAACAGACACACACACACACACACACACACACACACACACACACACAGAGGAGACCCCCCCAAAATGAAATTTATTTATTAAAAAATTGTGTATTTATTATTACATGTTAAACTTCAGTCACCTTCAAAGTACTCTCTGATGTAATATACCTATTGAGAGGCTTTATCCACTGCTCAAAACAGTTTTTGAACTCATCAATGTTAATACCTTTTAGAGCTCCTGCTGTGTTTTGTTTCGCCTCTTCCACAGGCAAAATGTTTCCCTTTGAAGACTTTTTTTGTCCAGGGAAACATACAAAAAAAAGTCACTCAGATAAGATCAGGTGAATAGGGAGAGTGGGGCATGGGGGTTATGCTGTTTTAAGTCAAAAGCTGCTGAACACTCAGTGTGCTGTGGGTAGGTGTGCTTGTAAATCACCCATCATGAAATGGGCAAACAAGTTGAAAGAATCTAAAAAAAAAAAGAAATTCACTGAAGCCGAAAACAGCCTCTAACAACAACACTAGCTGGTACATTGATGCTGATGAGTTCCTAGAACACTTACTTAGTGGGGAAGCCTGTATTACAAGAAGCCTGACCTCCAAAATAATAATAATGATTCCATTTTGGGGGGGTTCTCCTTCATATTGTAGCAACAACTCTGGCTACTGGTCCCTTTGCTCAAGGATTGTTTTCATTTGCTCATACACTTGTTTAGTGGCTGGTGGAAACATTCTAGTGACGCATAGTTCTTCCTCACATCATTAAGCTTCTGATGTTTTTCCTCAAGGGGGCATAGTTTTTGGCTTGCCCACAGTCACCTGAGATGATGGTGGTATTGGTAAGGCTCTATTCTTCTCATTCCCTACTCACATCACAGCTGTTAAACTGACTGCTTAAACTGTTAAACTGGCTGGTTGTTCTGCTCCTGGTAAGGCCTACTGGGGTAGAGAGTCTCAGTTACCTGCCCCAGTAGCTACATCAGTGACTCATTCTTGGGTTGACTTTTTCTGCCTCCCTGTTTCACTTCTTCTGCCTGTCACCTCTACTGCCTGAGATCATTCCCTTAAAAGCCTTTGCACAGGCTTTTGTCTTGGGGTCTGTTTTCAGGGGGTATTCAGACTAAGACGGCCCATCATTAGAAAAAATCTAAAACTCACATGGGAGTGATGCTAATAGCCATTTTATCCAAATCTTACAGCCCAGCTCAGTGGCAGGATAAAGCAAGATTAGTTTGTCTTAAGTAAATACCATTTTGGAACTCACTGACTTCTCTGCCTCTGCAACATCTTCTTCTCCCCCTCCTGTTTCTTTCTCTTCTAGTTATTGCCAACTTGTTGTTCCCATGTTTCTCTTTTCCACTGCCCATTCATCTCCCTTCACTCTTTGCTTTGTCTTTTCTCTGGTTCCTCATTTCGTTCCACTTCATCCTTTCTGTCTTCTTCATGCTTGTGTTCTTTGTTTTTCTGTTATTCATGTTATCTCCTTCTCTTTCCTACTCCTAACAAAATTGGGAGTCAGCCTATCCTTGTAGGACACTTGAGTCCTGTGGCCATACTCTCCTTACATTGTCTTACAAATAGGGGTGGGAAAGGTAGAATTAGACCATGAATTTTGAAGTCTTTGCTGAATATTGATGTGATTATCCCTTAGTGTACATTTCATGAATACAGAATTAGTGAGTGAAGGGTATGCAGAGGGATGATGGGACTTCTGTTTCCTTTACAGCCACAAAATCACGGAGTTGGCTTTGAGAATTGATCTTGGATGTGTGGATCCCTCAGCCCAGGCTTCTCTCCCAGATCTCTGCTCTTCAGCTGGATCATGGAAGTTTATTCATCCTCAAGAGTGGAAAAACAAAACCTGGGGAGGAGCTGGGAAACTCATGGAGAAATCTCAGGTCCTTATTGCTTCCCTTCAGGATAATGCAAAACAAGGTCAGATATCCTTGGAGGTGACTTGTTTTGCCTCCATGTAAAACCACTCAAACACATGCATTTGTTCACATTTCAAATCCACTTTATTACCAAAATGAACAAAAGGAGAATGGCATTTAAATTAAATAAATTACACAAATATCTCAAGAGATAAGGTTCCCGGTCCTCTCTGGGAATCATATCATCACAGATCTGTATCACTAAGAGCATTCAAAAGTATTGAAATTCTGGATTATTTTGCTACCTTGCCCCCCCTTTCCTGCTTCAACCATGTCCAGAAGAGTGGCTTGTGTGAATCATGTTATTTTCAAAATATTCCAACAGAGGTGCTTTCTTCAATGTCTTCTTTCTGCCCATGTGTTTGCAATCTTACCTTCACTGTGGGCTCTGTGATTACTTATACCCTTTGACAGGTAGCAGATCCCTCCTTGAGCCCCAACTCTAGGTCACTGTGAGTCAGCAGTTCCCTTCAGTTCTGGGGCTAGCTTGAGGGATAATGTTCACTTTGTCAAGTCCTCAGGGAATCTAGACACTTGGTTCAAGGGGGGCTCTGACTTGGGATGTCCCGAGACTCTGTGACCTTCTCCCACCTCCTGGGCCTGAGCTGGACTTTGAAGGAGGTGGAGTAGGGGAGGGTGAGTTGTCATTGGCTGAGGCTCTTGTCCTCCTGGAATTTGGCACTTCGGGTGCTGGGCACGGTGAATCCCAGATAACATTGTCTTCCGCCTTCCAAGTTTTGAGTTACATTGGCAGCCAGATGGCATAATTAATTCACAGAAAGGCAATGCTCATGGGCCAAGAATGTGTTGGCTCTTGGCCAGCACCCCCTCCTTTAACTCTAAGAAGACTTGCTAACTGACCAGCTCACTCAGCACACAGACACACAGTGCAGGTCAGGTTAAAGTTAGGAATTGGGATATTTTCCCAGGCTGGGCCAGCCCAACCTATTAGGGCAGGGAACATTAAGTTAAAGGAGCTTGGTAGAAGCAGTGAGAAGAGGCCAGATTTTCTGTGTATGTCCATGAAAATTTTATAAAACACTTATACATGGAGCTATTTATTTTCAAGTCAACAGTGGGGTTCCTCTAGATACCTCCATATATATACATATATATGTATATGTATATGTGTGTGTGTATGTGTGTGTGTGTGTGTGTGTGTGTGTGTGTGTGTGTGTGTGTATGGAGAACTTAACCTCTATTTTCATCTTTCTTAGAAGAAGATGGCATCAGATCTTAAGATCGTTAAGAAATCCCCGTGGAGGGAGACCCAATATGGATCAGCCCTTCTCTACATCGGCGCCCAGTTACAGGATGCAGCTAATCCCTGGAAGACTTCCTCTCTTGCCTGGCAGAAGGACCCTGTCATGATTCTGGGCCACAAGCTGATAAGGGAGAGTTAAAATGATTGGCTCTTTGCCTAGTATAGAAGGACAAGGCAGATTTCCTGAGGGGAGGCACTTCCCTGATGGACCATGAGGTCAGAAGGGACGGTCAGGGCCCAGCTCCCACCCGTTTGGTACTAGCACCCTTTCTCCCTCCGAGTCTCTAGTACAAAGAGGGATTTCTAAAAGTTTTTGTGCAGAATAACTGGTATCTATTGCTAGGCTGCCAGAAGATTCTGCCAGCTACCTCTCCCCTCTTTTTGGATTCCTATCCAGACTCAAGTAAAAGGGAGCAGCTCCTGAGGGCATGGGGAGTGGTGTTTCAGGAGGCTGAGGCAGTACCTTAGTTGGTGGGATGCCCTTGGGGAGGTAGCTCTGGTGGCCTTGAGGGTCCTGGACATGACCCAGGTTAGAGTCTGATATGTTGACAGCAGTGAAGATCTGGGTAGCCTTGGGATGAAGAGGAAGCACACACAGTCATCAAGACAGACAGACTCCTGGGTGTGGGAGCACGTGTCCCTGACTGGAGAGCTGCCAGGGACAGAGTTGGGGCAGCTGGAGGAGACAAGTTTATCCCTGTGTCCTATGACAGCCTGATACCATCTGACACCAAGCCATGAGGGCCCTAGGACTTTGAAGCATGCACACCAGGTCAACACAGTTGTACTTGTCCTTCTGTTCTTGGCTCACTCTTAAAGTCTTGGAGTCAAGGTGTCCATCAACTGCCATGGGCAGAGCACGGGTGGGTAGGTGGAGTGAGGAGGCTTGCTCATTGCCAACCAGGGCCTGAGGGTCAGGAGAGGTGATGGGTGGGCTCGCTGGACTCTTACTCCTGTAAGAGCAGGCTCTCCCTGCTGCAGAGAAGCTCTCTCTAGAGATGCAGGGAGGGAGGGAGGGAGGAAGAGAGGAGGAGGAGGGGAGAGAGTAACCGGAGTCCTGGAGGCTGCATTCTCCTCTACCAGTTACTCCCTGTGATCCTGGGCTCATCCTTCGTGGAAGCCAGGTACTCCGGAGACAGCATGAGGACTGGCTGGGTCCTCACAGGGCGGTTAGGGTCTCTGCGTGAAACATGCTCCCAAACATTTCCTGCAGAGACCACAGGAAGGAAGGGGGAGGGGAAGGGAGAGTGTTAGACCTGTGAGGGTCAGAGTGGGTGCAACCAAGAGGCAACCCCGTGAAACTCTGGCCAGAAAGAGGCATCGTGTGTGTGTGTGTGTGTGTGTGTGTGTGTGTGTGTGTGTGTGTGTGTGTGTGTGTGTGTGTGTGTAAACAGGGGAGAGGCAGGGTTAGCCTAAGAAATGAACTGGTCCAGTGTGACAGGAGCAGGTGCTGGAAGCTAATTGTGAATTGCCTTGCGAGCACTGTATGACCTTCCACATGTCCCTCTCCTTTTAGCTTCACTTTTTTCATTAGGTAAAATGAGGGTTGAAACTAGGCAAGCTCTAAAGTCCTCTCTCACTTTGATAAGCTATTTTAGTCCTATCCAGGTCTTTTGAAATGTGCTGGGAATTCCAAGAGGGCACAGAAGCCAGTCTGCCAAGTCTTTGTGGCTCCAGCTATATTTTCTAATGTCTCCCACCTGCCATCAGCACTTTGAGAGATGTATTCAGAGGAACCATGGCACTCAATCTCAAAAAGAGTGGGAAGAGGCAAAAAGAGATGCTAGCTCTCCTTCTCTCTCCTTTTCTTTCTTTCTCTCTGTTATCCTTGTTTTTCTTTTCCTTTTCCTTCCTTCTCTTTCTTCCTCCCTCCCTCTCTTCCTTCCTTCCCTCTTTTTCTCCTCCTCCTCCTCCTTTTTCTTTCTAATAAGAGATGGAGTCTTGCTTTATTGCCCAGGCCGGATTCGAACTTCTGGTCTCAAGCAATCCTCTTGCCTTGGCCTCCCGAGTAGCTGAGACTATTGGCATGTACCACTGTGTCTGGCTGAGGGATGCTATTTCTCATAGACCCAAAGCTAAGTTTCTCTAAACCTAGTCATCTGGTTTCCTTTAATTAAGGGCATTGGGGTGGTGCTAATTTTCATGGGCTCTATGGGGATAATAACCCCTCATATCTGCATAGCTTTTGGTTTCTAAAGCCTGTTTATATGCAATAATAATTCATTTGCAACCTGATAATTCATCTGATTCTGCCAGAATATAAGTTTCCTGATGGCAGAGGTCTTTGTCTTGTTCACTGCTGTATGCCCATCCTGCAACTGTGTCAGATGACCAGATATACCTGCTGTATTAATGAAAGAACAAATGACTTTCCCACTGATAATCTGTGGTGCATGGGGCAGGTATTACCCATATTTCTCTATTTTACAGAAGATAAAAACTGATACCCAGCAATGTGATGTGGTTGTCCAAGGTCATGTGGTTGACACGCTAGAGAGTAAGATTAGCCATCTGTCGTCAAGGACTTGGTCCACTGATTCTCCCTTCCCCCACAATGCCTTTCAGAGAGTGAGAAGAATTAAGATCTGATATTAAACGGAAGATGAGCATGAAACTTTGTTGGCTTCAGGGTGACTGCTTGGGCTGGAGGTGAGAGAGCCCAGAGAACGTCTTATATTTGAGAGAGTCTCCTTCTTTCCCCTCCTCACCACCCTCCCTCCCTCGCAGCCTCGTTCCCCAGCTCACCTGCTCTAAGTCCCAGTAGCTGGGGCTGTCCTCCTCCGAATCATACAAGGAGAGCTCAGAGTCCCTTGGAGCCTGGAGGGGGAGAAGATGGTACAGAATGAGTTCTAGGGACTGAATAGCACAGTAGGTACATGGTGGCAGGAAGAAGGACACATGGTCGGCTCTGGGTGGGTGCCACATTTCCTGTCACATAATTCATCCTCTTGCGCCTTCTCTCACCTTCCTCTCAAAATATAGCCCCGCTGTGGTGTTCCCTTACACCAGACATGTGTGCATCAAGATCTTCCCTCTTTCTGGGGGCTTTTACAGCACAGAAGGTTTATCTCACAAAGACAATTGGCTAGCCGCCTGACCTTGGGGAATTCCTTTCTCTCTCTGGGAATCTGTTTCCTTATCTATGAAAGTAAGATAATCAAACTTACTCTGCTGGCTTTGCTCCTCACTATGCTGTTGAATAGGTGTGTGTGTAATTTATATACATGAATATATTTTGTAGTGTGCCGCTATGCACTATATTACACATTATATACATTACTTATTAACATATGAATAATACATTATTTATATAAATGGTAATAACTGGATGTTATTAGTGCAATAACAAATAATGAAAATTTGTCCTCTGGACAAGGTTCACCAAGCAGGAAAGCCTGTTGTTCCCTCAGTTTCCCTCCAAGGATGAAGGGTGGGAGCCAAGGCCCTGTGTTTTCCTGGGTTGTCTTTCAGCACTTGGAACAGATGGCTTCATCTTCACCAAGTCCCTTAAGGCAAAGAGCAAGGCTTTGCTCCAGGGCCAGAAGAGCCTTTCTTAGGACCCATGGAAGACCCATAGAAGAGGGCAGAGGAGGCTTTTACTGAGGCCAAGGGCAGGTGCTGAGCTGGGAGGGTGCCCTGTGGGGGAGAGTGAGAGGTGGCTAGGGAGAACTGGGACCCCAGTAGACTGGGCTTTTTCTAACTCCTCAGCTTTCTGGAGTCCTAGACATTGTTATCTGTTTCTCATTTGCATACCATTTATTGCGCTAGTAAATTACATGTTGAGATGACGAGACAAAACCTGGAGCCAGCCTCTTCATCCATTTCCAGCCTTAAATCTCCAAGCGTTGCCAAATTAAAACAGGAGAATTACTCTCCTCCACTCCCTTCCCCAAAACCCCCTTTAGAATAAGGAGAAGGAGGCAGGGGAGCAACGGCAGAACAGTGGGCATACCATACTATGCTTTGAGTATTTGTGTGATCAGGAAATGAATATTGATATTTGTATAACACACAAAGTGCTTTCAAGTGACATAAAAGACATACTTATCATTGAATCCCCCCAAAAAGACAAAAGAAAAATGCTGTGAGGTAGATAATGTTAGTTAACAGTGCCATTCTACAGATAAGGAAACTAAACGGCAGCATTGGTGCCAGAACCCAAACGTTCTTCTGTGTTTTTTCTAATGCCCCTTGATCCTGTTACTTCACTAGCCTGGAGCCTAGGATTCCCCAGATGCAGGGACCTTACTCCTTGGAAGTTGCGTCCTCGGGCCACAGCTTCTCGGGCATTTGCTTGGGCAAAGAGGACAGCATCGTGAATGCTGGGAAAGACGTGGTTGCACTCTAGACTCCCATCCTCAAAGACGCCTCCATGGCTGATGTCGTTGTACACCTGGGCTGGAAGGAGGAGAGATCACCTTCAGAAAGATAACAGCCATTGTGGGTTGGAGCTAGTGGTGGGGAGGATGGTGCAACCAGAGCAGGGGGAGAAGGAGAGAGAGGCCAGAGGTCTGAGCTCTTGCCACTGCGGGCCCTGGCATTGCAATGTCAGTTCTGGACGGCAGAGGGCAACAGGAGCTTGAGGATGCTGAACTTTCAACCCAGGGCAGAAGGAAGCAGTTTGATTTAATGAGTTGATACTTTGTGGCCATTCGCCATCCCTGAGGCCGCTGCCAATTCTAGCCCTTTTAAAAGGCCCATCTTTCCTCTTGTTTTCCCAGATATTTTCTATAACCTCCAATATGTGGCAGACCTCTTACTCTTACCAAATCCTGGAGATGGTTTCCTGGGGGCATTTTCAGTGAGGGCAGAAGGATTCTGCTGATTCTGACTATGGAATGCACCATAGCAAATCCTTGCTATTGCACATTCCCTCCCTGAGTGGAGTCTCCACAGAACTTGGGACATTCAGCTCTGCTGGAAGGGATCTGACCCTTTGCAGGGAGCTGGGTGTGCATGTGCCCTTCAGTCTCTTGTGTGTCTGTTTGCACTTGTTTCGACATCCCTGTATTTTGCACGTGAGCTAAAGACATAAGAGTCCGCTGCTCTGTGGCCAAGGCTTTACGTCTATGCATATGCAGCCTTTGGAGACTGTGTGCCTGTAAAGCTGCATATCTGCATGTCCTCTGGGTGGTCAGGGTACATGTGTACTCTATGCCTATATAGATTCACGGACTTTCTGATTTGGAGACGATCCCCAGATTCTTCTCATCAACCCCCTCATTTTACGTAGGTAGAAATGAATCCCTTGACAGATAAAATGACTTGGCCAGGGAAACATGGCAAGTTAGTTTCAGGGCAGATTCGAATCCTAGCTGCCCTTTCTCAATTCCATGGCTCCCTCCACCCTCTGTTGCTGAGTCCCCTAGGAGGTTTCCACAGTCTACCCAGGCTCTTAGGACTTGTATCTAGGGCTCTCAAGAGCAGGCAGAGGGTTGGGGGGAAATTTGGGTGCTTTTATTTCCACCTCCTCACTATTCAGACCTCACCCTCTGGCTAGCCTTTCAGACCCTAAATGTCGTCCTCCTCTTACCATGGATGTTCACCAAGAAGACCTTCACACCAATCTTCCCGTAGGTGGAGCTTAGCTAGACGTGTTGGGGTAGGGAGACAAAGGGAAAGGAATGTCCTGAGTGGGTCTCAAAAGCGACTCGCAGAACGTACTTCAGAGGGGAAGCCAAACAAACAAGCAACCCTGAGAGCCCTCACAGCCTAAGATAAAAATAGCAGCAAAGCACACCACTTCTCCCTGGAGTGTCGGCTGCCGGCTGCTCTGGGAAGCAGGGCGGAAATGGGGTTTTGCCAACGTGCAGGGCACTTAAAGGCACTATGGCCTCTTCTTATGGGGCCCGATCTTTCAGTAGCTTAGATTCCCAGACTCCACCTTTTTCCAGACTTTGTGGCTTCAGGCAGAAGCCACAGGGGAGGACCAAGGCTCAGAGAGTAGGGCTTCAACCAAGGCCAGACTGGACTCCAGATCCAGGCTAGGGAAGCGGGCTGAGGCCCAAGACTGGGGCCGGGGCCTTCTCTGAACCCAGCTGATGGTGACATCAGCCTGTATGTTCTCTGTGCCCCTCTGTTCCCCTGATTTGCCTCTGTCTGAGGTAGTTCTGAGGTTTCCTGATTCCCTGTCATGGGAGGTGGCTGCTGAAAACACATCAGATGGATACATTCATCCACGGTATCTGGTGGGCTGCCTGTTTGGCCCTAGGGTGTAGGACAATAATGTTATTTCTTCATCTCTCCTGGGTTGGTCGATGAGTACAGGATGGGGCACGCACCGGTGGCCAAACTGGACTCTCCTCAGAGGACCCTGGATGGGTTCCTGGTGGCTTAAGAGGGAATTGGGGTGGCCACTGCTGGGGGTGTGGAACACCGGGGCCTGAAGCTCTGGTAGCCGGCTCCAACCACTCACTGTCACGGGCTATCTGGGCCTGCTCTTCAGAGAGCATTCTGTCCTGGTCACATGTCGGGGAAGGAGGGATCCTTGGGAGCCCTTAACCTCCGTGGCAAGATCCTCCCTTAGCTTGTCTGAAATGAAGGCTTCTGGGAAAGGGGGTGCAGGAGAGCAGGGCGTGCCTGGGGCGGTGCTCCCTCTCCCCAAGGGCCTCACCTTGGCTAGGGCTTTGATGCCCATCAGGTCCACAAAGCTGACCCCACTCATGTCGAGAATGAGGGTGTGGAAGGTAATGAAGGGCGGGACACTGGCCAGCGTGTCACAGGGCTCACCGGGGGCCTCAGCAGAGGCTGGCGGCTCACACTGGGTAGTTGAGGCGGTGTCGGGACTGAAGGTGATGTAGGACACACTGGCGCCATTAGCCGGCGTCTGGTTGTTATTGGGATCGGTCGGGGAGGCGTTCTCGAAGTCCTGCTGGAGTTCCTGCAGGGAGACAGTCTGAAGGGGGTGGGGGTGAGGGGCAGAGTCAGGGACCACCAAACTGGGTCAGACTTCGCTGTGGCTGAGGCAAGGGGCACGGAGGGTGTGGGTGGAGAGGAGTAACTCTACTTGGTGGTAGTGAATCCTGCCCCCCCAAAGCCAAAGCCCCTCCCTGAGGCGGGGCCTGCCAGCTTGGTCTCCTACAACCCAGATGAAGTCAGAGGACCATTCTGAGAGAGGTACTGAGGCCTCAGCCTGCTCTGCTCTAGGAGGAAGCCCCCCTGGAGACACTGAGTCCCTTTTTGCATTTGTCTATGCCTGCCTGATTTTCCCCAGAACCTACACACTCACCCCAGTCTTGCTAGCTCTGAGTTGGCTGGGTATCCCAGGAAGTTCACTGCTGCTCCCTATCTGGGGTTGTTTATAAGATAGATAGGCCATGTCCTATCTTTGCCAGAAAATGCAGAGGGCCGTGGGAGTTCAGTGGTTACCCTGGGTGCTCGTCCAAGAACACCTGGTAGCTACTAGGATATGATCCTAGAGACTTTTAGTTTTTGCCTTTCAGGTGGAAGGTGGGCTCCCAGGGTTGTCATGGATACCATGGGACAATATCGGAATAGGCAGGGGAGCAGGGCATGGGTGCCATTCCCAGCCTCAGTTTACCTTGGTTTTCATGAATAGAGACTTCCTCTGCTGTGTGGGCATTGTTCTCCTCTTCTCCTGCTTCTTGAGGTATTTCTGCTTGGCTAGTAATACTTTCTGGGGGTCCATACCCGTCTGTAGGGGGAGAGCCAACTGCAATCTTGACCTCCACCCTCCACAAAGGTGGTCTGCTCTCGGCTCCCAGCCCCTTTCTGCTTCCGTCTTCTGGCCACTCTTTGTCTAGCCCTTCTGGTCATGAGAGATGGAGCCTTACCTTGGCAATGACCTTTTGCCTGAATATCTCAGAGTTGGCAAAGTAGAGAGGGGAACAGTAGGTAACGATCTTAATCCCCTGAATGTCCTGGACCTGTAACAGGGAGACTGGGCTTAGGTCGCAGAAGTGTTTTTATTGTCTTAAAAAAAACCCCAACATTTTCTCTTTGGGGTGAGGCAGGACAAAAGAGGGCAATCATACATACCCCAGTGTAGGTCTTGGGATTCACATAAATGTCAGTGTCCATGACCTGGGCCAGAGCGTAGCCATTTCGACTGGATGAAGAAGGAAAAGAAAACCCTAAGAGAATGCTAACAGTACATGGACCTGGAAGGATGCTGGCGTGTGTGTGTGTGTGGCAGGGAGGTGGGGAGGGGGTGCTGGGGTAGAGCCAGGGCAGGACAGGGTCCTGTCCCCGCTCCCAGGCTTGGTGCGACTATCTCTTTGCACTGGAGACACACACCTGGAGGCCTGTGGTGAGACAATACATAGGGGGATGATAGGCCCTTGACATAGCTCCCAGACCAGGGCTTAGGGGAGAGAAGTGGTGGGTGTACACAAGGTGACAAGCTTAAGTGGCCCTGAACTCACTCCTTCCTGGTTCTGAGTTCTTTTTTTTTTTTTTTTTTTTTGAGTTGGAGTCT